CTTCCCCAACTCCTTTCCCCAAGTCACGGAGGGGTTATTTGGGCTCAGATGCCTCCCCAACCCCACTTTCCTCAAATCACGGAGGGATTATTGGGGCTCAGTTGAAAATAGCTGCAGGGAAGCTCAGCACATCCTTCCCCAGGCAGCCCCACCACAGCCAACACATCCCGTGGCCCCATCGCGCTGGTGCTGAGCAAAACTCAGCATCTCTCAAGGCCAGGCAGGAGGGGAAGCAGCAGGAGCAGGGAACCCGGGGGTGACTCTCAAAGAGGTCAAGGCAAAGGGGACCAAGCAAGTGGCTGCAAATTTTCCTCCTCCCTCCCCGCAAAGGGCCAGGCAAGCGCTGCCCCAAGCGCTGGTGGAGGCGGCGAGCGCTCCCCAGTGCTTTTGCGGCCGCTCCTGCGGAGATGCGCGGGGTTTCACAGCGCCGCGGCTGCCATGGAAACTACATATTTTTAGCTGATGCTCATGTATCAAAACCTGGGTAAAAATAGCTTGGGATGAAGGGGGTCTCTGTAGCAGAATTGCGCAGGAAGGGAAAAATGGGGGGGGAAGTGGGAGAAAGGGGGGCGAAAGGGAAAAAAAACAGGGAAAGGGGAGAGGCAAGAAAAAAAAAAACAAAAACACAGAAAAATGGGGAGAGGGAGGGAAAAAAACCCCAGCAAAAGGGGTGAGGGGGAAGGGCAAAGGGGCTGCCTGCAGGTCTGTTGCAGGTGGAAGCTGCCAGGGAGGATGAATCCAACCCCAAACCTCCCAGCGCCAGACCCAGGCAGGGCCACCTGCAACGGGTCATGGTGGCCACTCGGCCGGCCACCCGCCGCCGGGTCTCACCGGTCCCCAGTCGGAGACGGTCCACTGCCGGTCGCAGGGTGGCCCCGTGCAGTTCTTCTCGGCCAGGGGCCGGGCGCTGGCATCGCAGAGCTTCTCGTCCTCCGAGCAGCGGATGTCCCGGGTCACCACGCTCCGTTCTCCGCAGCGGGCTGAGCACTGCCAGGAGGGGATGGGGAGGAGGACAGTGTCAGCAGGGCCCCCCCGCACTGCTATGGGAACTAGGAGCTGCTTTCTGTGTTTTTTTGTGGGGTTTTTTTTTCCACATCTTTAACATGAAACTCTAAAAACCACACACTGACGACACATAGGTGTCTAAAACAACCCGTAGCAAAGCCGCCCCTCCTCCCCAAAACCCCTCAACAGCTTCAGCGATGGGGTTAAGGTGCAGAAGGGTTTTATCCTGCCCAGGTGCTGTGCAAGCTCTCTGCCAGGTGATGCCAGATGGTGAAAACCCAAGGCACCAAAACCGCCTGATCAGAGCTGAAAAGTTTTAGCTGTCACTTAAAGACAGGGCGAGATCTCCCGCGCCTCCTTCCCAGGAACAGCCAGCTCCTTTCCACCTCTTCGGAGAATGTTTTCCCCAAAACCGCACGACTGAGATTTTTATGCTGTGGATAAATTTGGCACCGCGCAGCCCAGTGACATTATTTAGAACTGGATTTGAGTTACTACAGTCTCACATACACACATTTGCTCCATGCATAACGTAAAGCAGGGAAAAGTGTCAACAGCACAGCGCTCAGACGCACTGCGCTGATATGTTAATCCTCAGATCCCTGAAATGTGCTTTTTATTTTCTGCCTATTCCCCAGCCAACTTGGCACCCTACTTCAGATGGGATCCAAATGAGATTAGCTTTGCTGCTGGCTAAGAACAAACTACTCCAGGACTGTCTCAAGCAATCTGTCCCTGACACATGCTGGAGAAGAATACGGATTTCTGTAAAATAAGCCACTCTGGTTTGCTACGCTGGTCAAAATAACCCGCCAGCATGTGCACAGGGAGCTCCTCTCTACCCAGCTGGGAATGTCAAAACATCCTGCAACACCAGGGAAGGCACCAGCCCCTCCATCAGCTCGAGGGAAACGACGCACCCCAGCTTACAGAGGGAAGGAGATATTTAACTTGCAACCAAGAAGCATTTTGGGAACGTCCCTGGAGGAAGAGCGCGATCCTTTGTGGTGTAAACCGTGGGGTAGGTTTGCACCCACGGACAGCTTGACTCGGAGCTCAGCCTACTCTTGCTCAGAAGGGGTCTGGGCTTGATTTGGGAGCAGGAATGACATCTGCTCCTTTGCTGAGAGTCAGCGAGCGTGCGGGTTCCAGCGCACAGATGCTGTCACTATGGCAGGGGGCTGGTGTTGACACCCTGGGCAAGCTCAGAGACAGACCCAGACCCAAAATCTCTCTCCCCGTGCACACCCACTTCCAGAAGCCATTGAAGAGGCAGGACTGTCTCCCAGCAGTGCAGGGGAGCATAGTTACACCCCCATGCTTGCTGTGAGCCACGCTGGCTCCCCTCCCTGCACCACAAGTGGCCAGTCCAACACCAGTGGCAGCTGGGGACTGGATTCCAAGGCACCTGATCTCAAAGCCCAGCCCCAGCTCCCCAGGGAACAGCACTGGTTTGGTCATTTCCATGGGTTTATGTTTGCAAGCGATGTGCTGGAACGCTGACCATGCCTGGAAATTATTTCAAGGGCACAGGTCCTTTCACGTGTTCCCGAGCAAACCAACGAGCTACAGCAAGCGCAACACTGCACCGTTTCCAACTGCTTTAGGGATCTGCTCAAGGCACTGCTAGGAAAAGGTTAGTTCTGCAGGGGGTGCAGCAAAATTGGAGGCGAAGAAGGGAAGTTTATGGGAACATGATTCATGTGTGAGGTGGCATCTCCTCCCTGGCACCTCGCGGGAGCAAGTAGTGGTGGGAGGATCTCAGCCCCGAGCTCCTCAGTGGGCAACACCAGGACCTTCTGTTGATCAGACTGTGAGTGACTGACGGTGGTGCCCTCCCCATCCTGGAGGGGACCCAATGCTTCATTTTAAGAGAAAAAAAACCCAAACTAGTGCATGTTGGTCTGCAGGCAGCCAAGTGTCCTAAAAGGCAGAGTGATCACAGAATCATTCAGGTTGGAAAAGCCCCTTGGGATCATCGAGTCCAACCCTCAGCCCGACTCTACAAAGTTCTCTCCTATCCCACATCCCCCAACAGCTCATCTAAACGACCCTTAAACACCCCCAGGGATGGGGACTCCACCCCCTCCCTGGGCAGCCTGTGCCTCTCTGACCGCTCTTTCTGTGAAACATTTTTTCCTAATGTCCAGTCTGACCCTCCCCTGTTGGAGTTTAAAGCCGTTATGATGCCATGTGATGGCCAAAGATGAGTTTCAGTTGGAAAGCGCTGCTGGCACCCAGGCCAGCAGTCCCCAGACACTCACCTCTGACCACTCGGACATCTCCCACTGGGGCCCGCAGGCCGGGTTCTTGCAGACCTTGCGCTCGTCTGGCCGGGTGATGTCTGCGGACTCGCAGAGGTCACTGTAGACGGAGCTGTCGAATCCCGGAGAGATCATCTTCCAGCAGCGGACGATGCGGAACTGGTAGCCTTCCCCGCAGGTGCGGGAGCACTCGCTCCAGCTGCTCGTCTCCCACCTGTGGAGGCAAGAGAGGCCGTCGGGGCGGGCACGGCTGGACCGGGGCTGAGCATCCCACGGGAAAACCCTGCCTGCTCATGGCTGGAGGAGATGGCTGTGCTAGGAACGAGCTGTCAGGCTGCTAGAGAGAGGTTTTCCCACGGGATAGGATGTATTAACTTATGGTGGCTTCACCCAGCAGTCCTGAGCTCATCCTGTGGCAGCGGATACCAAAACCAGGTTGCCAAGGGGAAGGAGGCACCGGCACGGTGAGGCACAGCCCAGTACACTCGTTTCTCACCCACAGCCCACATGCTCCCCGCCTGCACCAGCACATTTCGCTGCCATACCTTTTGCCCACGTTTGACCTCTCTTTTTTTGCCTGATCAGCTGAAGTACGGAGAAGACACAACCATCCATCACTCTGCAAATCCCAGCAATAATGTCACACAAAGCTGTCTGAGCCCCAGTGGGACAGACATTCATGTACCACTGTCATTCTAACTCTGCTAACATCATGTGATGGGCTGGAAGAGCTGGGATCTGCTCTGAGACACTGCCTGGCCCTGACTGTCCCCTGCCACTACTGCTCTGACATTACAAGAAGGGAGCAGCTTGTAAACCAAGGGGAAAAAAAGACATAAAAAGTCAAGTTTTTTACAGTATAGTAACATTATAGCGATCCTGAATTAAAGAATAAGCTAAAAATATAATAAACTAAATGGATCAGAATGCACAGCTCCTCTGGACACCCACTGCTGCCACCCTCCGAGCAGGAGAGCCCCCCCGGCTGCACGCCGGCCTCGCACCCCAGGTGGGGCTCCAGGCACAACAAGCAGCCGTAGGGAGATGTCACACATTTCAAGGTGTCACCTAAATTCACAAGGGAGACGCAACCAAGGTCTTTCCCGTCCAGATCATGCAAAATTTTCTTAACGCTTTCTGTTGGAAAAAGTGTTGCCAGCCCCAGCAGCACCCCGTCTGCCTAAGTGTTAGCAAATGTGCTCGGCTGCCCTGCCGGAGCTCCCGGCAGCTCCCTGGTTTACCCACCACCGAGCTGCGATCACCAGTAAATCACAGAGCAGCTCTTCTCTCTTACAGTGCAAGCCCACGGAGCTGGAACAGCACAACTATAAGGAGGGGCAGCTTTATAGAAGACCAGTGGGATAATCTAAGCATGAAAACAGCCCCAATACTCGTGCTAAAAAATTACAAAGTTGATGCAAGTAGAGATTAAAGTCCCCATGGCGTCTACAGAGCAGGTATGTTCCCAGCAGAAGCATCATTGACCTCTGCAGGCTCTTCTTGCCTCAGTTTGCAGCCTGCCCTGGCTCTCAGCCTTAACATGAAAGGTTCAACAAGATCTTACACTGTGAAGGGGATGTGCTTTCCTCCCCCGTCCTCCTTCACAATTACCCGAGGCCAAAGCAAGCACTCCTCAGGTGCCACACCTGGTCCCTGGCATCGCTCTAGTCTTGTTTTACGCTGTTCACAAGTGACACCGTCGCTCTGGCTTTACATCTCCCTTTGCCCTGTCCATAGTCTGACACCATCACAGTCCTCCTCCCTTTGACAGACCCCAGGCTGTCCTGCCCATACCTGCTGTTACGTGCAAACCTCCCAAGCAGCACAGCCCGTGTCACCGACCAGCAGCGGAGATGCCCTGGGCCATCGAGCCTGGCTCTGGGCTGCGGTCACGCTTTTCCAACAAAGAGCCACATCAGAAAGGAAACCTTCTGAAGGACTTCCAGCACGGGGTCCCCTCGGCACCAGCTCTTGCCCTGAGACAAGCAAACCTCAGCGATGTTTAGGACGCTGAAGGGACCAGAGGGACGGATCCATGGCGTAGTTTGCAAACCCGACCCTTCCACCCATTTCACACACACGTCCCTCCACAGGCGGGCCGGGACAGGATTCTGCCTGCACTGCTAGGAGCTGGACTGGGTGGGAGCTCCACCTGCAAACTCTGCCAGGATTTCTGGAAGTTTTAACCTGGCAGCTTGAGCTACAGCACGCAGTGGGGGAAGTCATGCTGCATCCTGGTGCAGCCTGGGCAGCTGTAACTAGGGGAGGAGGGACAGGGGTGCTACAGGCCATCCCTGCTGGCCCCTCCCAAACCCACGCCGACCCCCTCCCCCAGATGGATCCACGGCACAGAAAGCCCAGAGCCCCCCAGGAGCACCCTGGCGAGGTGGTACCTTGGCTGGCACTCTCTCCCAGCACAGAACTCATGGATGGGCTCGGGACGGGTCATGGCATCACAGTACGTATCATCCACTTCGATCCCATCATAGCGAACACACATAGCATATGTGGACATCACTCCTAGTTTCAAAGAGAATACATACACACAACAGAGGACGCTTGGTGATTTTGACATCCAAACTTCTTTTTTTTTTTTTTTTTTTTTTTTTTAAATCTTTTCTTTTGAGCTGCATTTTCCAAAACTTCCTTCCGGTGGCAAGCAGCAAGTCAGACTTTCTGGCCCACAGGATGGATGCTGCTGGGAGGGGAGCACTGTGGTGGCCACCCCACCAACATGGCAGCACGCTTCAGTTTGGCTGGCTCCGAAGGTGAGCACGGCCACCCCTGCCAGGGCTTGCCACCAAGATCAATATATGACTAACACATTTTTATAGGAAACGCTCGGGGCAACAAGTCTGCTCGGCAGCTCCCTCCACCTCGCAGCCATCAGCTCCCACCCTGCTGGGCTTGTGGGTGGAGGCAACAGAAAACAGCTCCCAACCCGCTCCAACCACCCACTCTCTCCTAAATACATTACACCCCGTTTGTGCCTGGGTGCTCCCCAGGCGCATCCAGCACTCCGGGCCAAGCAAGGGCTCCCGGGGCCTTTGCAAGGAGGCACTTGCCCCTCCTGCTCCCCCACCACAAGCACAGGCAGCCAGCATCGTCAGACCGAGACCTTTTCCCCCGCAGCCTGCCATGCCAGAGTAAATGTTGTGAAGTCCATTCTGGGACCTGGCTGGGGACCAGGAGGCTGCTCTGGCTACAGGTAACAAGAATTGCAGCTCTCGGGAACATATGGTTTACATGAAACTAAAAAAAGATCTACGGCTCTTGACATGGTATTGCTTCTCTGCGGTATGTCATTAAGAAAAGGCAATGAGAAAGGAGAAATTTTAAGTAAAATCTCTCTGCTAGCTGCAAACTAGGGCAGAGCAGCCTGGCCCGGTCAAGGGGGAAATTTGTTCAGAGAGGATTAAAGAAGTCAAAAATGTCCCAGAACACATAGCTGATGAGATCCTGGGGAAAGGGATGGCTTGTGAAGCTGCTGCTGCCAGCATGTGTCTGCTGGACAAGAACAAATGCTTAAAAAATAAAATCTTTGCATTTGCTCCATTAAGAGATGTCCCTTAGACTGCAATCTCCCCTCTCCCTTCTTTCTAATTCCAGAAGGGCCACGGGATCTGCATAATTTCAGGGATGGTGCTGTTGGGGAGCAGTGCAGCCGAGAGCAAGACCCACACGTGTGCTTCATCACAAGTGATGGGCTTGCAGGGGCCGGGACGCCCTAACCAAGGAGTAAAGAAGAGAGATCAGCTCTTTTTGGGGGAAAAAAGGGGGAATTTATGCAAAAAGAATACAGGCTTGGTTTTGATATTCCTGGCATCTACGTCGCTGTTCCAGATTTACACCCTCGCAGCCCAGATCAGGCTCCAGGGCAGAAGGAGTGGGAGAAACAAAACAAAAATCAAAAAGCCAAATGCTATTTTGTTTCGTGCCAGAGCTGAACAATCTTCAAAATTTCACTCTGTGAGGAAGCAGCTGAGCTTTTCAACCCCCTCTGAACAGGCAAAAAGGGGAGGAAAGAAAAAAAAAAGAAGGAGTCAGTATGCTGAGACTCAGCACAGGTTTGGGGATCCTGCCGAGCCCCAGCGTGTCTCCCCCTGGCTGGGAAGTGAAGGCGATGTTCAGAGCCCCCCAAGGGAGGGTGTTTTGCAGGACGATGGACATGCCAGGCACCAACACCCGGCCCCCGACACGCCTGCAGGGTGGATGGGCTTTGCACGCTCTCAGCCCCCAGCTCTTCTCCCCGCCTTGGCACCCAGGCAGAGCGGAACCGGGGTCGTGCTAAACCAGCTCCAGAGATGGCGAGATCCCCTACACATCACCAGGTCCTTCCCATCCCTAACAGACATAAAAGTGACTCACACACCAGGTGATTTCAGCGGTTGTGCAGAATTTGGCTGCTTCTTATAACTACCTGTGGTACATGTAGAGCTGCAGGGTTCATGGGAGGAAAGCTTCCACCTGTACATGTCAGCAGCACTCACACCTTGGCCCTTTCTTAACAACTTCAATCTGTTTCTAGCGATAAGCAAACAAAACAAAAAAAAAAACACAAAACAAAACAAAAAAAAAGGCATTTACAAGGCGAGCGGTGATAGGCCACGTCAGACACACACATCTGCCAGCAGGCTGCAGTTCGGTTGGGTTTGGGTTTGGGAGGGGATTTGCTTTGTTTGGCGGTTGGGTTTGGTTTTTCTGATTTTTTGGGGTTTGTTTGTTTGTTTTAATTGGTTTGTTTTGTTTCACAACATACCTGTCCTGAGCCCCAAGTAGAATCCCCAGCCCGGTTAGAGGCAGAGCTTCCACTGTCTAGAAATAGAGAGAATGGGATAAAAATACCCACAAGTAGAAACAGTTCAGAATTTAACAAAGTTTGCATTTTCTGCTCAAATACACCTGGCCCTCGGCATACAGTGACTAAAGGTGCAGTATCTCCTCCCCTGTGTCTCCAGGGCCGGGCACACCGACTCGTGCAGCCCAATGTGGCAGAGCTTTAGGCTGCTCAAATCTCAGCAGCTCCCTCCTTCCGAAAGCCAACGCGTGGCACAGGAGTTCGTAAGCTTGCTTCTCAAAGCACAGTTTGCTTTTAAACACCAAGGCATGCCATTTGCCTACCCGCTGCTTTTGCCACTCTTGTTTTGGTTTGGTTTATTTTGGTTTATTTTAGGCAGGTAATTTGCATCTCTCATAGCCACGCTGTGCTCAAACATGGAATGCCATCGGGAAAGGAGTAACGGAGTCAGCCTGGTGTACAAAAAAAGCATTTGTCAAACCAAGAATAACAGCTTCTCCCACTTCAGTGCATCCTACGTGCTGTGAGGTTATAACACATCAGGGATACTGCACCTTTACAACAAGAGGCTTCAATTCTGTTCTCATACCTTTGTTCAAACCCTTGAAACAGCTACACTGAAATAGCGTACCAGGTTGTATCCTGACATCCAGTTGTCTCTGGCCTGGCGAGATATGCAGCTTGTATGATTTCTAGGCAGCAGAAGCTCTGAAATTGCCTTATTTAGTTGTTCGTCAGAAAAAGTTCAGGTCCGGTCTATCAAATCACCCTTTAAAAGGACACTGTTGAGAATCCAGCCGTTTCCTTTCGGACCCACCCTCCTTCCACCGCCAGCACTGAGACTCCAGAAGGATTAAAAACAACAACAATCTCATTTTCCCTGTTGATTTTGCCTCTGTCAGTTTGGCAAATGGTCACTTCCTGCGTTTGAAATGGAACCGAAATGAATGTGGCTATTTTTTGCCGAAAAATAACAACCTCATCTCACTATAAATAGTGCTTTATCTTGCCAAAACAGCTCTGCCTGGGGAACCCACATCAGCCCCTGATCCCAACTCAGCCCCGGCTGCCATCGGTGTGCTGCCTGCTGCCACCCAGCCAGGAGAGGGCTCACAAGATGACAGTTTCCAGTAAGATCCATTAAAATATACTCAACATCTGCTTTTTGTACTTTTAATTTGCCTGGAAAACAGGGTATTACCTAAATCCTCTAGTCTATACCCTGCTCTCTGAGGCTCCAAAGTTATCTTGTGACTGGGACTCCTCTCACTGAAAGGAGGAAAATAATCTTCAAAATAAGCTTTATAGCACATCTTGGGACAGAAAAAAAAAATATCTTTCAACAGTTCCCTTTAATGTATGTGATCCTAAATAAAAAGCTGCTTCTATGTGTAACAAGGTCGCAGGGACAAGCTCTTTCCAGATAAATCAAAGACTTGGTCATAGGGCAGCACTCTTACCATTTCAAAGACAAAACTGTCATTTTGTTCTCCTCTAAATAGAAACAGCAGCACATTGTCCCACAAAGCTTGTAGGCTTTTCTCTTTTATTTTTCTTCTTTATTATAAGCTTTTATTGTAAGTCAAGTATTTTCTTCCCTGCCTACACTTTGCTTCTGCTTTTCAAGCAAGCAACAGCACCAAAAATTAGCACCAGCTCCTCACCCCTAGCTGAGGTCTGGGCTGCCCATCTTCCTGAAACAGTGCCTGTAGCAGAAAAATAATCCTAACAAGTACACACAAAAACCACAGATTGAGATCCAGAGTCCCTTGGCTCACATTTTTGGTTTATTTCAGTTTTTATTTTTAAGCAAAAGGGGAAACTCATGGCTCCTGTTGCGGGATCAGCCCTGGCTGCACACTACAGCATGGGATGAAGGACAAAGGATGCCTGGATCTATCCTGGCATGCCACAGAAAGGTGTTAACTGCTCCAGGAGAGGAAAAACAGCAGTGCATCCCTCCCACGGCACAAGAGCCACCCACCCGTCCCCATCCCAGTGGGGCTTGCTACCAAAGAGGAAATAACACACCACGCTGGTGCAACATGCTCCTATAACTGGATAAATTCCACCCACACTAAGAACTACAACAGTTTAGAAAGAAATAAGATGCCCTACCTCTAACCAACACTGTCCTGCATGTACAAACTGGCTGGTTACAGTCTGCAAAGAAATTATCTTCCCTTACTTGTTCATTGATGGGGAATAAAAATAAGGAAAAAATCTCCCATCCATCCCAAATTGAGCCTGAAAAGGATGTGGGAGGTCTCAGGTCCAAGCTCCTGCCCAGAGCTAGGCTGACCCCAGTAAGAGACTGGGTCCCACACGGCCCTGCACAGTCCAGTGTTACCCATCTCTGAGGATGGAGATCCCCACCCTGTCCCACAGCAAGAGGTTTTCCCTTGTCCTCCATCACCATTTCCTCCAGTGCAGCTTCTGGCTGTCCCCTTCAGCTCCCTCCCTCCTGGAGGAACAAGTCCAATCCCAGTGCTCCTCAGAGCCCAGGACATGCCAAACCCCAAACCACATCCTGCTGCACTAGGGTGCCAGCAGGAGATTTAACCCTAGCCTCAGTAAGCTCAGCTGGGGCTCCTCGTCCATCACTCCCACCCAGGAGATACAGGTTAGTGATTAACATTAGGATTGCAACTGGGCTTGAAGTAATAAATAAGAAGTTGGGGGAAGCAATAAAGGCCTGGACACAAGCAGGCTGCCCTGACACCGTCCCTTCTGTCCCATCCCCTGGATCACCCACCTCTGTAGTGGTGGCAGAACAGCCAGACCCTGAGCCTACGAACACGTCCAGCTCTCCCTCCTCCACAAGTGCCCACACATGCAGATGCTCCAATTGTCGATGACATTATGGGACTTTCTGAACTGCTGGGGAGGAAAGCAACCCCTCCACGCAGTGAGCAAGGCCTCTTGAAAGGAGGTCCAAGTTGTTTTGTTGCCCTTTTCCTTCCCCGCTCTATTTTTTTTTTTTTAATAAAGTAACATGCCTCCAAACAGCAGGTTTCCTGCAGCCCAACTGCCCCACATCTGCCTCCAGTGGGCTTTCAACCCCCCACCACATCCCCACAGTGAGGGATAGAGACAGTGAGGAGCTGAACATCTTTCAACCCAGGCTACAGCCCCATCTGGGCCTGGATACAGCCTTACGGCTAGTACAAAACTTGTTTGGATCTGAAAGGTTCATGTTTTATTCTAGAGAGAGGGGGCTAGGGGAGAAGAAGAGGGAACACTGTAGAACAAAACCAAGGGAAGAATGGAGGGGAAAAGAAAAAAGACAATGCTGGGTGGGTATCCTTTCTGAAGGGGTTTAAATCCCTGCCCTGTGTCTTCAATAAGTGCACAGCCAGGGATAGTGCAAGGAGCTTTTTAGCACAAAAGAAAAACTGCCCTGGAGCCACCGACAGTCTTTCGTGGCTGTGCTGCAATAGCCAAGCTGCTCTGGATTTTAAAACGTATAAAGATCCCTGTATTCCCAGGAGGTAGGAAAGCACCAGCCCTGTTTAACAGCTACTGGGAGAGGTTTGGGGTACAGGGTGCCAGGCAAGGCCACCCAGGGAGTGTGCTGGGGACCAGGGGAGCCCCAGAGGACAGGGCACCCCCTTCCTCGCCCCCGGTAAGGCAGGGGAGCTGGGGAGCTGACGGCGCTGCCCTCGCCTGTCAGAGTGCTAATGAAATGCTTGCTTTGGCAGCTGAAGGCAAAGTTTCCAAGCCAAGCCACGAGAAGAGATGATAGACTCAAGCCCTTGGCAATGTTTTAATGTTCGTATCATTAAGAAGTTTGTTGGTATGTTTGGCTGCATGGACATTTTCTTTAGCATAAGCTAGTATAAGTTCCGGGTAAATACAGCCAACTATATCCAGAGAGCATCTGCTCAGTGCTTTACATCTTCTGAAGCTCAGCACCATCACCTGTATTTTACTGGTGGTGAAGATTGGTAGGGTCAAAAGAGACTTTGACAGAAGAGTGAAAGCAGCAGAGCCAGGAGGAGACCCCCAGGGGAGCCTTGGGTGCTGTGGGGCCCGAACAAGCCCTGGGGGTGCACAGTGGGACCCCAATCCACAGCTGTGGGTCTGTGACCCGCATGACTCCCACGGCCCTGGTCCCAGCTCAAGCTCTCCGGGGAGTGCTCTCATCTGTGGCTACACACAAAAAGGGGCTAAATGCCGGTCTGCAGCAATGATCCCATCCCGGTCCCCACACACTCCCACTGGGAATGAGCTCCCAGGGGCTGGGGGTAAAGGCTGCTCCCCAGACAGCCCCGGGGCACCTTGAAATGCCCTAGACACAGACTTGGGAACAAGCACTAGCCTGAGACTGCCCTTCGCCCAGCCCATCCTTGCCTGGAGAAACTCTGCTGCTAAAGATTAAGCCTTTTTTTTACCTTCTCACTGCATTTTATAACACTACCACTCCAAACCAGCCATTAAAAAGGATCCTGAAGTGACAGTCCTACTATCAATCAATGAGCTGCCACTGGAGAGCTTTTGATATCCCTGTCAAAGCAGTGACTAATTGCCCAGCTTCTGCATCTGTCAGGGCAGCAAACCCAGGCTGTTTCTGCAGGCCCTACAGAGAAGCTCCTGTTGCGCTGCTCTGGTGCTCCAGCAGCAGGTTAAGCAGGCAGGGCCATGCCTGGGAGCATGTTCCTGCCAACACAAGCGAGGAAGACCATGGGTGGCAGTCAACAGGGTGGGTAAAAAGGGGCCAGGTCCAACTTCTGCTGCATACTGAGGAAGAGGCCTGGGGAATCAGAGCAGGATGTCAAAAGGAAGAGGCTTCTCTACGGCCACGGCTCCAGTAACAAGCTGTGACAGGCAGAGAGCAATGCACAAGCTGACAGCCATCAGCACAGGTTTGCCAACATCCCCACTAAGGAAGGCGGCGAGCTTTCCTCTTGCTTAAATGCTCTCTTGACTTTCTGCTCCCAAACCTCCGGCCCTTCCTTCCAAATTAACTTCCAACAGAAAGCTTTCACATACATCATCCTACCCCCACTTACCTTCTGGCTTCCAAAGCAGAAGGAAGCCGTGCAATAGGGTCTGCACTGAGTACAGGGCTATTACGAGTCAAGAAGAGCAATAAATAGGATTTACTATAAAGACACGTCTCCTACCTTGCTTTGTGGGTTCTGTTCCCTTGAGGACTGGTCATGGTGACAGTGGCATTTGAAAACGGTGTCTCCGCAGACGTGTTGATGGCTTTGCCGTTGCTCAGCTCCATGTAAGTGCTATTAATGGTGTAGGTCACAACGTCATCAGTGTCCTCGTAGTCAACATAGAGGCTGTCAATATGCGACCCCACAGAGTTGATCGGGTCTCCCTGGGCAAAGATACTGTTCATGGTCATGTTGAGCACCATCTCCTTGGAGTCTGAGGTCTTGTCCAGCAGCTTGTCCGTGATGGCGTTCTCCAAAAGGAATTCCCTGGAGGTGAACCTGGGGTCCAAGTCTCTGTCGTCATGGTCTGTCTGGTAAGTAGACCTGGTTACGTTTGAATCTAGATTGGAGCCAACAAGGGGGAAACAACAGTGACAACCACAAAATGCATTCAGGCTGGGAGGCGAAAGCAGCCCGGAGCAGCGGGGGCATGCTGGAGCCTGAGCAGCCACCTGGGAGGTTAGAGGCAGGAGTTGGGGTCTTGGGGAGGGGGACTCTCATGGGGTTGTACCCCTTTGGGAAGGGTGTGCAGCTCTGTGGGTCTCATCCTGCTAATCGCATGGCCAGAGGAGAGCTCAGCACCTGCCAGCACTGCCCCAAGCAATAGCAGAGGTCAGAAACGGAGAAGCCCTCCTGGCCCCAGAGCCCATGCAGCCATGCTGGGAAAGCACTCAAGGCAGTTTGATGGTGGGATGCCCAAGGGACTGGAGTGGGAAGGAGGTTGCTGGGAGCTGTGGAGAGGTGGGAAGTGACAGATGATGTTGTGATGGGGAGCTTTGTGCACCCAGGGCTCCCCTCCTGTCCTTGGCAAGAGGCAAAGCATGGCAGGGCACCAGCAGGGAGACCTTACCCATGGCCACCCACCCACCCACCAGAAACCAGAACCTGAAGGGCAAATAGGATTTATGAGCAGAGATGTTTTAAAGAACTTTCCAAAGTTTCCAAAAAACAAACCAGCAGAATCACCAGAGGTAGAGACAGAGCGTTTCTCAAACAAGAGCTCTGAGAAGCAGAACAGTGAGGCCCAAGTCTCCTCCTTACCTTGGGGTTGTTTGCCCTTCAGTTTTGGCTCACAGTCAATTGTTTCTGCTCTTTCATAGACCTCATTGGTTTCCTGACCTTTGCTCAAGTTTAAATCTTCCTCCGTGTCCTGCCTTCCAAACACCTGGTTCTCCAAGTCTATCCTTTCCCTGGAGATTTTCCCAAAATAGGTTGCGTTGTGCTGGATAAAACCCAACGGCACGTCTCCATCAAACTCTCTGCTTTCTTCACTGTCTGACTCAGAGAAGGTGTAGTAGATGGGCTGCAGACTTTTTGAGTGCGGCTTCCTCAGGAGGGTGTATTCAAACGTGATGGATGGATTCTTGCCATTTTGATTCCAGACCTAACAAACAAATTATTAGCGGATGCAGTGAATATACAGTATGCAAATCTTGCGATTCATCTTAGCCTTGAGAGTCGGTGAGCATCTACTTCTCTATTTCCAATCTGCTTTCCATCATATTGCCAACTTCATACAACTGGAGCCCAGCACAATTTTCCAAGGCTTATTTGGCAGCACCATCCTGGGGATTAGCCCCAGCTCGGGGACTGGGAGACACAGGTCACACTTCCTCCTCTGCTGCTGAGCGACCAGTGACTCGGGAGAGCCCCTTCAGAAGTTACTGACCATCACTTGCAAGCCCATTTTTTTGTGGCTTTATGAGGAGCATGCACATACCCCTTCAGCTAGAACATCCCCACTGAGGATGGGGACTCACAGCTAATGCACTACAACCTCTTACTGGTCTAATGCTTTATAAGAACCCAAGCAACCACCCCTTCCCCTTCCAGAGGGGCCCAGGACTACACAGAAGATGGCAGGAGTTGGGGTCTGGATGGCTGCCCACAAGAATATTAAATTACTTTTCTTCATATGCCTGGTTTTAGATGGTTTGCTTTCAAGAAAGAGTTGGGGGTTAAGTTCTGTGCACTCATCTAATCTATATGGCCCGATTTCTTATTTTTACTTTTCCTGACAGGTAACGGATAAAAATGCCAAGAAGTAGAAGAGAAACCCCCCTGCAGTGCCTGAGGCATCCTCTCACTGCAGAGAGAGGGGTTACCATGCCCACGTTCATTACTCACAGCCCTGCGTGCATCTGAGAGCACTGACGCAAATAAAAGAGGTTCATGCAAGGAACTGGGCACAGTCACTGCTCCCACTCCCCTCCTCAAGCTGCCCACGAAAGCTGTGAAACCACGGCAGGACTCTGCTCCGACACCCACCACTTCCTTGATCCAACAGATTTTTCCCTTCCCCATCACCCCCAGCCTTGCGAACTTGAAAAGTCAAAGCTCACCATTATATTCAACCCTTGATTTGTTGGTCCTTGTGCAACAATATACTCTATGCCAGTCTCATAAACGTCCATGGGCCTGCGGTACTTGAACACCGTGCCTGCAATGTTGAAGTTCTTTGGACTGTCAACTTTGTAGTTCCCGTTGAAGAAATAGTACCCGGCTTCGTCAGCCACAGCTTCAAACAAGAGAGAAAAATCAGTGCCATCACATGTAAGAGCAGTGGCGTGTAATATTGCCACTTGTTTGTTTAGGGGATAAAATTATCAGTGTGTCACAGTAATTAAACAAGTGTTTCTCCTACATTACAATGCATCTGCCACCTATTTCCAACATACACCACGTGAATATGTGCGCAGAGTTCTGGGCCACGTGTCCCTCTGCATTGCAAGTCCCTGGGTGTATCAGCATGAACATTTAATATTCACAGCTCTGCAGAGAATAAGGAGACTGTCAGATGGCTAACAGATTAACTCCTTGGGAGCACTGACCCTGCAGCTGCCCAAGACAGGTCATCCAGAGCCAACCTAGGAACGGTACTAAATCCAGCCCTCCTGCACGTGGCCAAGAGCCTCTGAGGCAGCACAGCATCATGGCAGTAAATGTGCTTCTCTTGGGCAAGTCCAGATTTTTCCACGCTCCTCCTGAGCAGCTATGCCATCTCCATCGTGAGATGGACAGCGTGGCCACCAACACTTCAGTGAGGCAACACACAGGTCACATCTCCTTGGTGCTGTTGTCATGTGGCCATTGCACATTCCCCAGATGGAATTAAAAAATAAAATAAAATCCAAGGGGATGACAAGAGAGGTGAAGTCACTGGGCCATCTGTGATCCGGCACCAGTACGTTTGTCATACCACACCGAAGTAGCAACAATATTGACCCAGAGTTTCTGCATTAAAGCAATCGATACAGCCCAGGTGCTCAGACTGCAGAGAGAAACGCACTGGCTTAGACATCGCAGTAGTGATTTACACTGACTACGGATTTAGCTCATGTCTGCAGTAAAACTACGTTCAGCTTCGCGTTGGAAAAAGCATTAGCTAGTATAGGCATGCATTCTAGGGAAGTACCAAGAGGTTATACACACCCAGAACATCTGCAGATTTTTTCCGTTCTACTATCTGGATATCCCTTGCTCCAGCAGGAATGTGTGTTACCAGAGAATAGCCTACGGGAAACTACAGATTAATGAAAGGAACTTTGTAACAAATAAATCGGAACTAAACACTCAGCAGTCGATACTGCAATATAATCAAGCATTCTGGCCTTGATCCAAAATTATTTTGAAGGAGTTATTGATTTTTTAAAAAAAAAAAAAAAAAAAAAACAAAACCAAACCTAATGGGGTGGTGATCACTGTTAGGCTGCAAACAGGACCTTATTGATAATAGAAAATAAAACTGTGTGAACTATCCATCCCAGTTTACAGTGGAAAAACACCAGCAAGGGGGGAAAAAAAGATGCAATCCTTCCAGGCACAAATATCATGTTTATCTAAACTGGTGTAAGAAAAGATGTCTGAAGAGCGCTTTGTTAGCTAAAGAAGCTGCCCTGTGGCTCAGTACCGAACCCTGTGCTAGCCAGTCTTGCCAAAAGCCCGGCAAGAGATTACAACCTTACTCACCCAGTGCTAAGCAAAGGGAAGCGATGGGACAAGTCCTCCCAAGGCCCCTGAGGTTCCCACACCTTGCCTCAGAGAGCATTAATCATTATTCCTGAGTTGCACTGCTATGTTTAGGTTCTGTTGGTTTACATCACACTAATTACAGAAACCCCGGTCTTTCAAAATACCCTTGCTTCCTGTTATTACAAATCATTTATTTCTAGTCTTACTGGGTCATGAGAAAGAAGACTAAAATAGATGCTAGCCTCTTGCATAACCCGTTTGCACCGCTTGGCATCAGAGACCTCAGGCTTCTGACAAGAGCCATGCCAAGTTACTGGTTTTCTTTAAAGAAAGCTTTCTCTGCCCAAATTTACAACTGGCATTAACGCGCCTAGAGCATGTGGGGGAAAAATGAGGCAGGGCAGTTAGGAAGAGCTGAAAACAACTTACCAAAAAATAAGTATGTTTTAAAAATAGCCCTTTGATACAAAAGGTCCCCAAAAGCCTTACCAAGATGAGAATTTCCTTTCCGGTAACTGCCGGTCACATGAGTGCAGCTGCTCCCATCTCCTTGGCAAACTCCGCATTTATCCAAGGTGTGGGTGGAAAAGAGAATGCCATCACATCCAATCGGCTAAAAAATTCACAAATAGAGTATTGAGGGTCAGGCAAATGTCGCACCCATTGTAATTTTCTGAATGCTACTAACAATATTTTTGCTATAATGTTTAACAACCTCACATTTTCCAGACACGCAAACCCCTCGGAAATCAGTGTATTTGCAGGATGTTCCATCCCGAGCCTGAACCATTAATTGTCTCTGACCATCCACAGTGGTGCAATGGAGGTCACAGGGCTTGCTAGAAATGTGAACATAGTCATCTAAGGGGAAAGGATATAAAGATATATTCAAAACAGCAGAAACACAATCACTTTCATCCTACCAATGTCAATGAATCTCTGCCAAGCTAAACAACAGCAGCAACAGCACAATTGCACAGCAGCCAGCAGTTCAGAAGCTACCATCTCTTGTGTTTCAGGCTGGACAGGAGATTGCACTTTTGCCAGCCCCACTGCTGCAAACCTTTGCACAGGCAGGCTGTCCCCTCTGCTGCCAGGAACGGATGCACCCAGTGATGCCAACACTAACGTCAGCCCAGGGGATGCACCGGAGCAGCAACAGCCACTGATCTGCGCAAGGACTTGCAGTAGTGATACACATTACACAAAAACATATGCATGTTCACATATCGCCATTGAATACACGAGTTAAATTAGCACAGATACATTATTATCAATACATACACAAGTAAGACTATATTCAAAACCACAGCAGCTTAAAACATGAGAACTTTTCCATAAACATTCACCCAAGTTGGATTTAACTCGCCCCTTTGCTTTCTGCAGGCAACTGGCTGGCTGCATCCACTGGCACAGTAGTCCCGTATTTTACAATATCCACAGGAAACAACTGACAAATTCACATTTGCATCAGAAACCCAATGCTAAATGTCGAACTCCTCCAGCCAGTGAGCCGTCATATACCCACTGGCCAGCACGCCCAAGAAAGACAGCATCAATGTCAAAACATTATTCTGCAATTCCCCCAGGAGCCATGTGAACGCCTGCTAAAAAACAAAACAATTCACTGTAACTGTTCTGGTGAAGCATCTTGAAGAGCAATTATGTTTAAAGAAATTGTCACCTTGCCATAGGAAAGGGACAAAAGCAGGCAAGTAGTTATAGCTAACCAGCCTGCCACGGGTCAAGTTCTACCACACTGACCCTGCCAAGAAGGCTGGTGAGACAGGGGCTTGTTTCACATAAAAGGAGGTGACAAGTAATTTCACGAAGCATTATTGTTCTTAGGTATGTGCAGAGACCCCTAAAACCAGAAAGTTGTATTAGACCCCATCTCTATTTTCAGACACCCAAATGGCACTGTGTATCTGAAGAACCAGCTCTCAGGAGCATCCTCAGTTCCCAATAGCTCTAAAAAAATCAGTCATTGTTTTTGTTCAATGCTTGATTTTGACGGGAGTTAGGTGCCCAAAAATTAAATAAAATCTCCGTTTCTGACTCCTAAGTGATTTCTGCAGTCCTGCATCGCTCATCCCAGATGACCAAACTGACTGACTGCATCTTGGTGACATTCAACAGAGCACATGAAGGGTGTGGGAGTGAACAAATGTCACCAAAATGCAACGCAGCCAGTCATGGCCCCAGCTCAAAGGACACTTGTTCGGGTGAGCCACTCTCCCTGCCAGCACAGTCCGTCACACCATGCTCTTGCATCCTCCTCCAGCCTTTCAGCTCTCTGGTCCCCAGGAGCTGGGACCAACACAGGCTACAGCCATAAATTCACACTGGTTTTTTTTTAAGCTACCCTACAGCTGCAAAACACACCTTTGAACTTGGGAGACAGCTGATTGTGTCTCTGAAAAATCACTTTAAAACAGCAGAGGAGGAGCCTTCCTGCAGGCTATAGCATCATAACTATCAAAATATTTTGGCTAAGCATTATGAAACACACAAAGAATGTCTTGTTACCAGGATATAAAGGTTTCCATTGATACGTTCTGCCGTTATACACATGGGAGTTAAATGATGAACACTGCTCCTCTCGAAAGCTCCTTCCGTTCGCAGGGCACTCCTAGAATGGGATACATTAATATCCTGATGAAAACAAAATGCAGGAAAGGTTTCTGGCACATCTCGACAGGCTGCAAGGAGTGTTTCCATTGTCTGCCCCATCCAGAAACACATCCTCCTTCTCCTCCCCCTGCAGGGGCAGCCTGGGGAAGTCCCCCCCAGGGAGGTGGTACAAGAACCACCCGTTGGGTTTTATGGCTCCCAGTGCAGGTAAAAGGCCCAAAGCCCCACACAATGGTGATGGGCACCAAAGAAGGGAACTCCAGCTGCTTGGAGGGGCAACAGGTACAGGACAAGTGGTGTCCCCTCTCCGAGGGGCCCAGAAATGCCATTGCATGAAGCAAGCGCGACTCTCCACATTTTGTATCGCGTGTTCCCAATGAGAAAAAGGATATCCTTACTTGTACTTTGCAGAGCTGGTATCTTTTGGATGTTCCAGTGCATGTTTTATTAGCCAGCCCACTCACTGACTTTCTTCTGAATAAAAAAATGATGGTTAGACAGCGGTCAGAAACCCTTCTTTTCCCTTGTTTAAATATATTTGTCCCTTGCTTCTGTAAGACCGATCTCCACATAGCAGAGCCTCAGAGATCTATCACAGTCTCACTGGAGACTTGAAAGCAAAGGTCTCTCTGGCTTTGTTACCTGCAGCATCAACTATTCTTATTACAGCATCCTAGGAGGTGTCATGGGGATGAGGGCCTGGGGACAAGGTTTCCAAAGTGCCTTCTGGCAACCACACAGCCCGGAGAGGGCAGAGCCACGCACAGGGCAGTCAGGATCAACCACCCCTGCACCAGAGTGTCCTCACTGCTGTGCCCAGAGCCTTGAGAAGGGGCTCATGCTACATCTGCTGCCCATCTGCACTAACCCCCTCGGGACAAACCTCAGGGCCAGCACAGGAATAGCTTGGCTGGTCCTCCCGGCAGGGATGCCCAGAGCACAGCATCCTCATGGCAGCATGCTTGGGGCACACTTACCTTCTGCACCAGCAGCGTTTGCCAGACAGCACCCTTCCACCAGTGCTCATCTACCGAGCGATGGCCTTCGGGATCAAGTCTACCTCCAGCAAGCTGGAGCTCCCCTCACCCTGGCAGGCAGGTGCCGTACCTCTGCCGCAGGCAGTGCCTCTCCTGGGACTTGACGCCTCCCCCGCAGGTCCTGGTACACGCCGTCCACTTGGTCCACTCGCCCCACCAGTACGCGGTGACGTCTGCCCCTTCCTCCAGGCTGTTGGAGGTCTGCGTCACGTCCTGCTCGAGGCATCAGGTGAGGGGCAGGGCGGGGGGAGAGAAGCAGCAGTCAGCATCCACGCCGCTGGACCGAGGGCAACCCCCTCCCAGCCTGCCCTGAGCGAACAGGGCATTTCTTTCTCCCATCTGAGGTCAAGTCTGAGATTGCCATCTGGCAAGAAACCCTGCGTTTTTCCAATTGTGTTTTCATTACAAATTGGAATGAAATGGCAATATTTGGGATTCCTCAGGAAAGGAAATGTTCATTGTTTCACGCAGTTGGCAAAACCAAGCTCCCAAACAACCCTAAACCCTCCAAGTCTTTTGGTGCTCTCTGACTTGCTCCACAGTGAATTCAGGGAGCTGAAGAGCCAGTTGCAGCCCAAAGCTTCAGCAAACCCTCAAAAAACCACTCTGCAGTGGGAGATCACACCAGTGGATGCTCGCAGGGTGGAGGAGCCCACGTGCTCTCTTTGCAAGCACAGGTTTGTCACTTCAAGAGGGTCCTTGACACGTCTCACCCCTCGGCCACTGCAGGCAGCATCACCACCACACGCCTGTGCTCGGTGAGGCGTTTGTGTCCCTTCACAAGGGGCACTGAACCTCCTGGGGGGCCCCAGCTACTGCTCATTGCAGGGGGAGGGAGGTATTTTTCCATTCAGAATCATCTGCTGGTTTGGGGAGTTCTATTAATTCAGCATTTACTGGGAAAGGGATAATAATATCCCATGCAAAGTAAATGAAAACTCCAACCCCTGTGGGGACCAAAGGAGCAGTGCTCCCCCAAGAGCAGGGCATGGCCTTTCAGAGCCCTGGAAGTAACCCGTGCATGCTCTTAGTCATGGAAGGTACAACTTAGGTCAAGCCCAGACCAAAGAGCTAAACCAAGCCATACGTCCTCACGCTTGCTGGAGGCCAGGTGCATGCACAGACCAGTCCTGCAAATCCCAGGGGTTACCCAGCTCAGACTGTTTTAAAGCCCAGGGACCCCCCAGCAAGGCAACGTGCTTACCTGAGCTATCACAAAGACAACGTTGCCCACGAGGAGAAGGGCCAGGGTGCCTTTCAGCTGGGATCGTGCACTGATGGAGATGCTGCTCCACCTCCACTTAGGTATCTTCATCCTAGAAAGCAACCAGACACCGTACTAGTTAGAACTCCCATCCAGCCCCACCGCGAGCAGGGGCTGCTCTGCAGCCTGGGTTACACAGCACGTGTCTTCTTCAGCATTCCCGGTCGGCTGTGTGACACCAACCACCAGTGACTGCAAGGGCCTGATCCTGAAGTGATATTTAATTAGTGGAAGCGTTAATGTGGTACAGGTTCACATCCCATCTTGGTGGCTATCTTCCAAAGCACAGCTTTGCACTGGTTCCCAGTGGCTGCACCTGATACGACCAGTGCGAGCAGAGGCTCCAAGCCTGTCTTGGAAGAGAGCAGGGTTTACATCGAAGCAAGTGTTGAGCGAGAGCAGCGAGTAACAAGAGGTGTCCCTGGATCTAGAAAAGCAGCGCATTTAAATATCTCCATCTACAGAACTGCTCCTGGAACGAGATGAAAGGCTTCATAAACAAAAAAATGCAATTAACAGCCATTATTTTTCCTTTTTTTTTATTCACTCCACTCTCATTCTCACCAATTCCCAGGGAAGAAGCCTGTTCTTATAGAAACCACCCACAATTAGAGAGCAGAAATGAAGTATCCCAAGTGTCAGCCTTTCATCTCTTTCTCCATCTGCCTCATGAAAGAGAGTAACCCAGAATGGCATTTTCTTAAATAAAACCCAGCTCAAAACCACAATACATTTTATTGTGAACCTCACTGCAAGAGCCAGAAAGGAGCAGGTTTCAGGAAATCATGCTTCCAGGCAATCAAAGCAGCTCACGTCTGTAAGAAAAAGGAAAAAAAAAAAATTCTCCCCTAAACTAATTTCCCTTGAAAAGGAACTAGACAGTATCTTTGGGAAGTAGGGGGGTGGAAGAGGTGCTGCTCCTGGGGAGAGGGGGCAAGACTGCAGACCTGCAACATAAAGAGCTTCTTTCCTACCCCTTTTTCTTCTTGCAAGAGCTTTTGTAGCAGTTTTGGAAATGCAGAATTGCCGGCAACGCCAGCAAAGCTTTTGGTATCTGGCTTAGAGAAATTACCAGAGGGCTTCCAGGTCCCCAACTCCGCTTTGCGATCGCCCCAGGGTAGAGGTCCAGCATGCAAACAAACAAACAAAAAAAAAAAAAAAAAAAAAAAA